TACTTATAAATTGTCCATTAGAGGAAGAAAGAGATGTATGCATTTAAATGGGCTAGATTTGGGCACGAAATTTGGTTGGATTACATATGCATCTCTCTCAAGTGGTTGTGAAGAAAAAGGAAAAAGAATAGCTATTTTGGGAGCCCAACCGCAGGACCAATAGGCTATCAATGGTGGATGCTTTGTGACTTTTTATATCTATTCTCAAATCCTTGAGTCCTTTGTCTTTTTGTTTTTATATTTGCTTTATCGTTTATCAATGAGGACGAGGTTGTTGAATGGAATGATGAATGCTGAAATGAAAGAACTCTAGGAAGTCTGTTTACCTATTGTATCAAAGATGGGACATGGTGGGCTGTCAATATTCACATTGACACCCTCATCTTTCCTAACCTTATCTCCACCCTTTCTCTATTCTTGTTTCATTCTCCCCCTCCCCTATTTCCCAATTAAAATTGACCGTCCATGCTGCTTGATTTGAAAACATTTTCAAATCCTCTTGTATTATGAGAGGAAGCAGAGAGTGGTTGAGGGAAGTTGAGGAATTGAGTGGGGTTCTTAAGTTAACCTTCTTGCCTGCATCTCAACTTTCCTTGATCGGCTGCCCAGATCAGAGATATTTCTGACAACAAGCTCTATTTATTATTCTTTTTGGTACATAATCCCTGTTTGATGATTATAGTAAGTGATGGATATTGCAAGAATTTTTTTTAGAAGAAGATAATGTTCTTTCGATCGGACAACCATGCAGAAGACGAGCCAGGTTGCATGCCCTAGCCCTCGGTCCCATGGCCTTCGAAATCTTGGGTTAACATATTACCCTTTCTCAATTTAGAAGAAAAAGAAGCATGGTTTTACCTTAAAACTTTAACCTCCCTCCAACAAATCTATTACATGATTACCATTTTAGAACACTTTTTAGTGTAAACTTTTGCTAATGTTTTTAACACTAATGGGGGGGAAGAAGATTCTGACAAAAAGGAAAGACACTCAGTTTTAAATTTGAGTCTTATCATGTTAAGCTTTATTCTTCAAGTTTTATGGATATGGGAGCCACACATCAGTCATTGCCATTGTTCTAAGTCTAATATCAACTATGATCGCTTCTGCTTCTGCCCCAATCTCTTTTTCAGTATAAAAAATGAAGTGATTATTAAGAGCAAATTCCCGAAATGGACGAGCAGCTACTGTACAATTCAGACTTCAGATTCAGACCCACTTTTTTTAATTTGTAATTTAATTACGCCGCTGTATAACAATATGTTAATTATACCTGCAAAATCTTCAGATATATGTTTATAGGAATTGAACTTTTGCAATGAGCAGCTTATTCTATATATCCATTTATATTTTATCCACGTTCACAATTTTTTTTTTTTTGTTGTGAACATAATACTCCTTAATAGAAGTATATAAGTGGATGATTTTGTACCATAGAGGATTATGTGGAAAATAAAATATTAAACAATTGAATATAAAGTAAAGATATATTGAAGTTCTCTTCATATTAGATACAACGTTAATTCCCGAAACTATTTATTTATATAGTGAAAACTTCCATGAACTTGTAAGTTCAATATGCTCAAAAGTTTGAAACAAAATGTTTAATCATAAATTAACAATAAAGTTTGAAAGATAATAAAACAAAATTTTCTATCAAGGAAGAGCACTGTGCATCAGTTATATTTTCTAGCGTTTACAAATAAGTTTTGGATTTTCTGATAAGACCCTCTTTATTCTTTGGTCCATAAGGCCCATTTTTCTAGGCTAAGATTTTTGGGTTCTATTGAGGGAGTAAGGCTAGTTAAGTGGGTGGAGGCCCACATCCCTTATTTAGTTGCATTATTAAAATCTATGAATGGGAAATTTCCGATATATACAAGCTGATTCTGCTTGGATTCCCTAAAAACGTCTCAGCGTTCTTTTGCGATTTGTGTTATTCTGCCATATTCCAGTTCCGTTAGACTTGATGATCGTAGTTGGTATTTCCATCTAAACTAGTATAAAAGGAAAAAGAGAAAGAAAGATGAAGTCAAATGTATGTTGTCCTTGAAGTGAGAAGCATATGAGATGTATGTTAGCCACAGATGTTACTTGCATAAACAAGCTCAGGGATCTGTTCATTGTTTGCAAAACAGTATCCAAGGCAGTTGCTCTTCCCCTGAAAACTATATATACATAACACTGGTCAAAGATGGAAGAAGTAAATAAAAGCAAAAGTAAGAAAAAGGCAAAACCATAGGGAGAAATCATTTAAGCGGAAGAGAAAATAATGGCATTTTGGGTACGAGGCAATGGAATATTTGGTGGTGATACATGCTTATATTTATATATCTTGTTTACTTTTAACTGTCTTTGGGGTTAAGGGTGTTGAAATTTGAGGATCAGGTTGTCTATTAGTAGTTTAAACTGTAAAATTGCTCATCTAGAGGCCCTTAAACCATCCCAAAGAACATTCTCAAGTTAAATTCTCTTCTTGTTCAAATTTACTGACCTTTTTTCTTCCTAAACTAATATTGATAAAGCTATACGATTGAATGTCTTGCAGCCTGATATTGCAGCCCCTGGAGAAAACATTCTTGCAGCTTGGATAGGAAATGACAGTTGAGGCTCCAGAAGGCAAAGACCGGCCAATGTATAGTGTGATCTCAGGAACTTCTATGGATTGTCCACACTTTGCTGGGATCGCTGTTAGTCAAATCGAGAAGCCCTACAAGAAGTCCCTCCAATCGAGTCAGCCATTATGACAACCGGTGAGGAACTGACATGTACATGGTAAAGTCTGGACTTTTAACTAATCTATGTCTTCTTACAACCGATTTACAACAACTCAAACCAATTACGACTAAGAGAGGGATAGCAGATATGCCTTTTGATTTTGGTGCAGGAAAAGTAAGCACAACAGGACCCTTGCAACCAGGCCTACTTTACGACACCACCCCCATTGACCAAATGAGTTTTCTCTGCTACCACGGTTATAATATATCTAAAATGAAAACTATCTCCAACACTATCCCAGATGGGTTTGCTTGCCCGGAGGAGTCGAGCATTTATCTTATGTCCAACATCAATTATCCATCAATAGCAATTTCCTATTTCACTGAAAAACAGGTAAGTAGAAATAAGGTTTTAAATAGCACCCGCATCGCGATATAACGGCTGGTGTTTAGTGGTAGCACCGTCTACTACTTCTGTTATGCAATCGCAATGAATGTATGACTAATAATCACACCTATAATGATTGTTTCCGATCATAAATAACGACAAAACAAAAAAATACGAATGTAACGAGACGTTAAAATCGTTATTTACGTTTTTCTTTCATCAAATAAAATAAAAATACATTTTTGAGTGGTAAAAAGAACTATGCGCCAAGTCCAAACTATTTAATTAAATTTAAGTTTCAATCAAAATAATTAGAACAAAGGACTAATAAAAATAGAGCTCTATTGAGGGAACCAACCTTCAAATTACCAAACCATTTCATTGGCTATGAGATCTTTGGGTTTAGCAACTTAAAAATTGTATGATCTCATAAAACAATTACAAACAGCTCCCAAATCAATAAAAAGATAAAAGAGAGTTAAAATCACTTGAGGAAAAGACAAGAGAGAGGTTAGATAGGTTCATGGTGGACTCTTTTTTGGATGGAGAAGTAAAGTGAAAAAAAAGGAAAAGTAAATAAGGAAGTTAATGTGATAAAAATTAGTTTTTATTTTTTATTTTGACTATTATCTTTCTTTACTTTTTGAAAAATGGGTATCTAAAATTTTTATGATTTGGATAAAATTTTAATAAAGTTGCTAATTGTTAAATAGTTAATTTAATTTTTAATTATCTAAAAAATAATTTTATAATAAAATTTTAATATTATTAAGTAGATTTATTATTAATTTTTTATACCTAATATTTTTAGATAAAAAGTTCTAGAACAAAAGTAGATAATGATGGGAAACAAGTTTTTAAAAATGTTTTGAAAATTTTAGATGAAAATTTTGAAAGAAAATGAAAAATGATATATACAAGTGTTTTTACATGTATCTATACCACAAAATTAGATTTTAATCCATTTACCTTAATAATTGAACTTTAAAATATTTAAATATTCATTATTATTCTTTTTAATTAGATTAATTTATAATATTAATTTCATAATGATAATTTGTCTTCAATCATATACATTTATAGCATTTATATCAACAAAATTCATGATTATATTAATGATCTACATTTTAGATATGTATATTGATTTATGACTCTAAAAAAATTTAAAATATTTATTTTAATATAAACATTAAAATATTAAAATATTATAAATTACTTTAAATATAATAAACATGTTTTATAATTATTATTTATTTTATTTTATGATAAGTTGTTCAAAATTATAAAAGAAAAAAAAATTCATAACGGCGATGAGTACGATTACCGTTATTTTATCAATTATGTCCATAACTGCAATAAACGTAACGCAACTGAAAACTTGATCGCGATCGCAAATTCGGTCATGACCGCGATTTAAATCTCTAAGTGGAAAGAACCCTCAAATGCTGCTGTTGCTGTTGCCCGGAGATCCTAAAACAGTCTACACTGTAAGCATTGATCACCTGCAGGCCTAGATGTTCAAGTGGTCCCAGAAAAACTGCAATTCACTAAAAATGGTGAGAAGTCATCTTACCAATTGAGTTTCTCAGCCGCAAATCCGCTCAGAAAAGATGTATTTGGATCCATAACATGGTATAAAGGAAAATACGAAGTCAGAAGACAGAAGTCCATTTGCTGTAAGCAGTAAAAGTGGTAACTAGTTGCTAAATCCTTAATAAGCATTAGAGCAATGTGTAGAACACCTACAAGAAAAATGCAGGATTCACAAGATCTCAATCCCACTGTAACAAATATGATTCAAAGCTCTTTTATCCTCACCTTGGCATGATCTTCACTGTTTTCCTACATGCTCCACATCAATGTAAGCATAATCGCATTCAAAAACCAGAACAAGATTGATAAGGAACAACATTAATTAACATTAGAACGGTTCAACGAGACATAACAGTTAAAGCATGTAAAAACAGACAGAAAATACCAACCCCATGTTCTCAAGCACATTGAAAAATAAAAACAGTAAAAAGCTTATGCTCAAATGGATTCAGATGCTTTCACTCAAAGGCCCACTGATTCTCCCGACGAACCTCCTCCTCTTCCTCTGGAGTAAAATCATTCTTGATATTAAATGTCTTACGGATCTCCTCTGGTGTTTTGCCCTTTATCATATCCGCCACTGTTTGACACGTCAGGTCCAACAAGCTCTTGATGTTCAAATAATTAGCAGCCTTCAAAAAAAAAAAAAAAACCTTTAAATATAAATTCAATTATTTTACTCCAAATCCCTAACAAAAAGGCAGGCTTACCAGGATGAGATCGAAGAGGGTGGCTTGATCGACCTTGACGAAATCAGCGTCCCAAGACTTAAGCTCATCGTCAACAGAGGCTGAACGATCGTCGGATTTATGTGCTTCCACGTGTTTCTTGCAGTACTCGATTACTTTGGAGAGGATCTTGCTGGTGACGTTGGGCAAAGGGATGCCGTTGTCGGCGCAATCGTCCTCGATCATATGCTTAATCGTTTGTGATTCAAGAGCCACCGCCTCGTCCACCTCGAAGCTCTCGCCGTCCGAGCTCTTCAGCGTGATTTTCCGATCCGTGGACGACATGAAGATGGATCCAATTGGAAGATTCCGGAAACCCTAACCGAAAGGGGAAAAAAAAGGAAAGTTGAGATTGTCCCGATAATACTCAAAAATATATTTTTTTAAGTTTAAAAATAAAATATATGCTATAAAAATAAAATCCTATTGCAGCATTTTCACTTCAATATCTGCTTTCTCTGCCCGGCAGCCCGCAGGTGAAAAATAAATTTCAAAAAGACAAAATGAAAATATTGTTGGGCTGTTTGGGAAAGCCTATATTTTTTAAATCCTTGAAATGGGTTTGCCCTATTTCCTGCAAAGTCCAGATAATATGGGCTTTCATTATCTGTCCAAAAGAGTAACAGCCTATAATGCTAAAACCGGCTCATGAAATTGTCTGGATTCTTTATTGTATTGAGCTATGCTCTGGGCTGCTTTACATGATGAAATTATGGGCCATACTGTCGGATATCACCCACTTTACGGTTTACGACAAAAGGCTGGAACAGCAATATTAACCTTCAAGCTGGCCCATTAGATGGCCTATCAACGTAAACTTCTCGATCCAAAATCAGCTTTTCTTTTTTTTTTTTTTTAAGTTCAAAACAGCTCTTAAATAGAAAAAAGATTTATTTATTTATTTATTTTTTTTTAGAAAAGAAGAAAAGATATTTGCACTAAGTTTGTGGTCATATATATATATACATATATATAATATAATATAATATATAAAATATATAATTCTATTAACAACAAGCTTTCGGGATGTCATTAATTCTGAAGAAGGTGGAGACTGGAGAGAGCACATTGGGATATGTCTTATTGGCTGTGAAATGAACAGAGCAAGCTCTTAAGAGTAAATATACCTCTCTGACCAATTGATAATTGAGAATCTCATTTCATCCAAAAAAGAAGCAGGAAGGAATGCCTGCTACAAAGAAAACCAAAGTAATCAAGCCCCTATTCAAACAGGAGTGTTAAAAATACATTAAACCAAACCGTACAATTTTCTTGAAAATCCCAGCTTTGGCATTGGAGCCTGTTCTCAGGAGTTGCAGAGAAACCATGAGCAGCAGTTAATTCTGAGAGGAACAATAGCAATGTTGGAGAGTTTAATAAATATATATATATATATATATATATACACGTACATAAACAGTTTATGGTCTTCGATTTATATATATATATATATACACGTACATAAACAGTTTATGGTCTTCGATTTATCAGGCTGACCACTATAATTTTTCTTAATTTCTCTCCAAAACATGTATACATATCACATTGAAAAGTATGAACTTACAATAAATTAGATGACGAAAAGTTAAAACATCTTGATTTATTTCAAATTAGCATTTAGTATTTCGTAGTATAGCAAGAAGGTAGACATTGGAACTATAAATTCATCAAAAAAAGGCAGGATCTCCTAGTATAGCCCTTCCTTGATCTTGGTGGCTAGATGCACGTCATCTTTCTCAAGATCCTAGCTTGTTTCAAAGGCTATCGAAAGAAGCAGCAGAAATTCATCAAGAAATTAAGGCAGGCTAATAGATATCGAACATTTACTAAGCTAGCAAAGAGTTCATTGATAGCTAGTGGATTTTCACCATTGTTTGACGAACAAGTTTTATTGGTCGGACGCCCGGTTGATTTGTTTATCTTGTGCTCCAGAAAAGCATAATTATTCCATGCATGTTTGCGAGTGTCTCAAATCCCCCAACTGCTGGATCCAAAACTTGAGAATTGGGTATGAGTGGGACAAAATCAAGACTATGGTCCGATAAGTTGAATCCATTACTGGGGACCCTGGTCCCTAGATAGAACATGTATTGTTGAGAGAAACTGCGGTAACCTTGAGTTGATAAACATGTCCGGATGTCCCCAAAATTCCTCATTTTATGTATATCAATAATGGACATTTAAAAAAGGCACCACAATTGGGACAGCAACATAATTCTGGCCTCATGAATGTTTGCCATTTCTTTTACTGATCAGTTTGGCAAACATTGATACCAAAGAAAAAAAAAAGTCATATGTTGAAGCATAGAAAGAAAGGCAAGGTGATTGAATTTATGATCAAGCAAGCTTATCGTTTATTTGTTGGAGAAATAATTAATAAGGCATGGATGCCTATCAGCATCAAATTAATTTGCTTTTCTTTTTCTTAGTTTTGTTCTCTTTTGGGGTACATATTATATCTGTTGCGCTTGAAACAATAATCATAATAATACAAAAACAATAAACAATAATTAATAATAAAAAATACAAAAAAAATAAAGCATAGTAAGATTTACGTGAAAAACTCTTCAGTGTAGAGGAAAAAAATCACAGACCACCAAAACAATCTTCACTATCAAATAATAGGTATACAAAGTTTTTCTCTAACTAAAATAGAACTAATCAACAACTAGAGAAATAATTGGAGAAATCTCACTAAATAAGTGACTCAATAAATACACCCTGGATTTGTTCATAGAGAGCTTCAAACACGATCTTCATTGTTCAGAATGTAAAACTCTAAATCATAAACCTCCTAACAAGGTTACAAATCAATCGGACCACGGATCGACTTTCGTACTCTGAATCATAAACCTCCTGACAAGGTTCCTATTCAATCAGACCACGGATTGACTTCCGTTCAACCAACTCTCCATTTTCTTTTTTCTCTCTGCTTTTTTTGGCTTTTCTTCTTTCTCTACTTGGTTTTCGACACCCACTTAAAACAATCCCACCCCTTTTTTATTAAGTAGTTAGGGCTCTGTGTAAAATGAAATATCAAGGCTCATGGCCTTTACTTGGTCCAAAACCACTTACATGAGGCTGGACCTTATTTTTCTAACAATCTCCCTCTTCAGCCCCATTAGGAGAAGATTCATCACCATAGCAATTTCATTTGAAACTTACCTTGGCTAGGGAACTCATTTCGACCAAGTTACTGCAAAGCTCAAGCTTTTTTCTGGAAAGTATCTTAGTCAACATATCTGCTACATTCTTATTAGTATGAACTTTCTTCAATAGCATATGTTATTCTTCAATCACTGAATGTAACCAATGATATCTAACATCAATGTGTTTTGTTTTAGCATGGTACATGGTATTTTTACTCAAATCTAAAACACTCTGACTATCACAAAATATCACATACTCTTTCTGATTCAACCCCAATTCAAGAAAAAAACATTTCATCCAAAGCATTTCTTTATATGTTTCGGTTGCTGCAATATACTCAACCTCTGTAGTTGACAAAGCAACACACTTCTGTAACTTAGATTGTCAAGATATAGCTCATCCTGTAAAAGTGAACAAATACCCTGAAGTAGATTTCCTACCATCAAGATCGCCTGTCATGTTAGCATCAGTAAACCCTTCTAGAACTGGTTATGAAACTCCATAAGTTAAGCACATTTTTGAAGTACCCCTCAAATATCTAAAAATTTATTTCACTGCTTTCTAGTGAACCTTTCTCGGATTAAAAAGAAAACTGCTCACTACACCAACTGCATGAGCAATGTCAGGCCTTGTACAAACTATAAGATACATTAAAAAATCGACTGCAGAAGAATAAAGAATACTAGACATAGCTAGTTGCTCTTCTTTAGACACTGGACAAGATTTTTTACTTAGATGAAAATGGTTAACAAATGGACTGCTAACTGATTTAGCATGTTGCACGTTGAATCTACTAAGCACTCGTTCAATATATTTTTTTTGTGACAACCATAGCTTTTCAGCTCTCCTATCTCGGATAATATCCATACCAAGAATCTGCTTTGCTGGACCTAAATCTTTCATATCAAAGGACTTAGACAATTGTTCTTTCAACCTGCAAACCATACTAGCATCTTGTCCTATAATCAACATATCATCAACATATAATAATAGGATAATAAAGTTACTACTAGAGAATTGTTTAACATACACACAAGAAATTGCTGCTGTTCTTTTATAGCTATGACTCATCATAAAAGAATCAAACTTCTTATACCACTGTCGCAGAGCTTGTTTCAAGCCATACATGTTTTATTTCAATTTACAAACTAAGTGCTCTTTCCCTTTCACTTCAAAACCCTCAGGTTGATTCATATAAATGTCTTCCTGTAAATCACCATGCAAAAATACAGTTTTAACATCAAGTTGCTCAAGCTCAAGATTCAAACTAGCTGCTAATCCCAGTACCATTCGAATAGAACTCATCTTTACAACTAGAGCAAAGATCTCATCAAAGTCGATGCTTGGTTTTTGAGAAAAATCTTTTACTACCAATCGAGCTTTGTACCTCACTAGTTTATCACCATCTTTTTTCAACTTGAACACCCATTTATTATTTAATGGCCTCTTCTCTTTTGAAAGTTTAACAAGATCATAAGTACTATTTTTTCATAATGACTCCATCTCTTCTTTCATTGCTTTTAACCAGTGCTCTCTATCCGGAGTAACCTGTACATCTTGAAAGCTTTTTGGCTCTCTTTTACTAGTAACTAAAATAAAATCTGAACTTGAATACCTGGTAGATGGTATGCGCTCTCTAGTAGATCTTCTAGGCTGAGACTTCACATCACTTGATGCCGAAGGTAGCTCCCTCTACTCAACACTCTCAGGTAGGGAAGATTACTCCCCCTACTCAAAACTAATTACATCTGGTTCATCACTAACTGTGACTGGCTCATTCTTATTCTCAAGTTCTGTTTCTTACTCATTTTCACCATCTGTGGCTCTTTCCTATGAAATTTCTGTCGGTGTTGAAACATCACATTCAACAGTAACTCGTGTACTCTTCTCATTTTTCTCAATGTTTACTATAGTTTTTTTTCATGAAAGACCACATATCTGCTTTTGACTGTCTTTTTTTTTATTGGATCCCATACCCTGTAACCAAATTCTTCATCACCATATCTTATAAACACATACTGTGTGACTTTATTGTCAAGCTTTGATCTCTGTTCTTTCGGCACATGCATGAATGCTTTACACCCAAAAACTTTTAAGTGAGAGTATGAAGTATCTTTTTCTGTCCACACTCTTTCTGAAATGTCAAGCCCAAAGAAACTGATGGTAACCTGTTAAGTAAGTAACAAGCTGTGTTGACTGCTTCAACCCAAAATGGCTTTGATAATTTTACCATCCTCAACATACATATGATTTTTTCCATAATGGTGTGATTCATTCTTTCAGCTATACCATTATACTGCGGTGTTTCAAGTTCTGTCATCTCATGCCTGATCATATGCTTTGAACAATACTCTTTAAAACTTTTAGATGTGTATTTTCTATCATTATCAGTTCGAATACACTTCAAGGGTAACCTTGTCATCCTTTCAACAATGGCATAAAATTTTTAAAAATACTGTAATACCTGACTTTTGTATTTCAACATATACATCCAAATCTTACGTGAAGCATCATCAATAAAAGTAATAAAATATTTGTTACCACCTAATGACTCAACCTTAATGGGATCATATACGTCAGAATAAATTAATTCTAATATATTTTCTTTTCTCTGAGAACTTTTACGAAAAAAAACTCTATGATGCTTACCAAACAAACAATAATCATATGAATCAAGAGACATACATTTGGTCAAAGGAATAATAGACTGCCTTGCCAAAACTTATAACCCTTTTTTCACCCATGTGTGCCAGCCTTTTATGCCACAAGTTTGCTGAAGCATCATTTTCAACAGTATTTACCTGGTTACTATTCAATTGCATCCATGTCTTATACATTATGCAGCATAGTTTTTTCCTTGTAACTACCATAGATCCTTTGAGAAGCTTTCACTGTCCATTCTTTTATCGGTTTTCAAATCCCTCCTTATCAAGGACATTAATAGCAAGCAAGTTCATTCTCATATCTGAAATGTATCTGACATTCTCAATGTCAACATGTAACCTGTACTAATTTGTATAATAATATCACCAATCCCAACAATCTGTGACACACTCTTGTTTTTCATCTTGGTACAACTAAAGTCTCATGCTTTGTAAGTTGTAAATAACTCTCTCATAGGAACACAATGATACACCGCTCCTATGTCAACTATCCATTCAATGTCAGGATCAATAACATGATTACAATCATCATGTGTACAAATCAAAGTAACTGAATCACTATCTGAATTCACTGCTGCAACATTGTCATTATCTGAACTCTTATCTTTCTCATCTTTTTGCTTTTACTTCAAGATTTTATAGTTTTGTTTTATATAACCTGCTTTACCACAATAGAAACACTTCACTTTACCTATAGACTTAGATATATGTTTAGACTAACCAAGGCTTTTTGAGTCCTGACCTCTGTCGATGTTTCTATCCCTGTTCTCTGTGATCAGAGCTTGATTTTCAGGGTCTAAATCTTTTCGTCTTGCTTCTTCATTAAGCATATTGTCCTTTATCATCTCCAATGTCACCTTATAATCAGGAGCTGAATTAAGAACAGTCACAACTAGAGTATTTCAACTGTCTGACAATGAACCCAAAAAAAATAACGCCTTCATTTCATCATCCATCTTAAGCTCTATAGTATTCATCCGATTAAATATATCTTGAAAATCACTCAAGTGCTTTATAACAGATCGTCCATCCTTGTACTGTAAAGTTGCAAGCTTTTTAACATGCATAACTTTATTCATACCAATTTTTCTCTCATACAATGCTGTCAATTTTTTTCAAACAATGTGAGCATCTGACTCCTGCGCTACATGATGAAACACGCTGATATCAATCCATTTTTTTATTGTAGCCAGCGTCTTTCTACATAGCTTATTTCAGCTTTCATCTTTCATATTTGTTGGTTTAGTCGAATCACCCAATACTAGCTCATACAAATCTTTGTAGTATAGATGATCCTCTATTATAGGCTTTCAAATTGAATAATTTGATGCTATCAATTTTATCATGAAACTTGTATCACCCTCTATGATCTCAAACAGAATTTACTTCTATCCTGCGTTGCTTCTATATCGATGTCTCAAAATAACCCTCGCTCTGATACCACTTGTTGCACCTGAAGCAATAATCACAACAATACAGAAGCAATAGACAACAACCAATAATAAAAAACGCAGAAAAAATAAAGCACACCAAGATTTACGTGGAAAATCGTTCAGTGTAGAGGGAAAAAACCACGGACCACCAGAAAAATCTTTACTATCAAATAATAGGTATACAAATTTCTTCTCTAGCTAAAACTAGAGCTAATCAATAAATAGAGAAACAATTGAAAAAATCTCATCAAATAAGTGACTCAACAAATACACTCTGGATTTGTTCCTAGAGAGCTTCAAACCCGATCTTTACCGTACGAAATGTAGAACTCTGAATCATAAACCTCCTGACAAGGTTCTAACTCAATCGAACTACGGATCGACTTCCGTTCAATCAACTCTCCATTCTCCTTTTTCTCTATGCTTTTTCTAGCTTTTCTTCTTTCTCTACTTGATTTTCGACACCCACTTAAAACAACCTCACCTTTTTTTATTAAGTAGCTAGGGCTCTATGTAAAATGAAATATCAAGGCTCATGAACTTTATTTGATCCAAAACCACTTACATGAAGCTGAAACTTATTTTCCTAACAATACCGTATTAGATTGTGAGATCCAACAAAAACCAGAACCGATAGTTACGTAGACCACTTCATGATTGTGGATGAAAAAACACTTTTCTTCACAACCCATTTTCAGATAATATTTAAGCAATGTTTATTACGTTTTTTCCTTTTTTTTGGTACATAAACGCCTAATTGGATGTTGCCTTTAATAACCATGTTTGTTTGGTGGATCTTGAGCTGGAAAAGTCTTGGTCTAGGCCAATGGTTTTGGATGAAAGATAAATGCAAGAAAGTCTCACTTGATCTTGCTAATTGCCATCTGGCTTTTATTCAATTAATTCCAAACTATCTTATATTTTGATGCGATCCCAGTCACCCCAAAATTGTCTCATTTAGCAGTTATATGTGACCCAAACACAGTCACCCCAAAATTATTTTGCATCAAAGCCATAACTGCTAACTGATAAATGATGAAGGAGAATATATCACATACTAATTTTATATTCTGTTTTTTTTTACAAGTGTTTTATGTTTTATTTTTATAAATAACAATTGGTAGCAATTTAATTTAGGATTCCAGAGATCATTTATAAAATTAATAATTATAATTAGGAGAGCTTTTTCTTTTGGTAAAAGCTAGAAAACTAACCTTGAAAACATATATATGTCATGATCATTTAAGATATCATTCACCAAAAGATCGAATTCTAGTGGTTGAGCTATGTATATGCATGCTTGGATCAATTCAAAGAGGATGGAGGTCCCAATAATTTGAGTTGTCCTCTCAAACCATGAGAAATGAAAGTCAATGAAAAAAGCACAGAACATTGCAAAGAGGGAATTATAAATAAAAGATAAAATAGATATATAGAATGAAAATGCATAATGACTTGGACTTAAATAAAGTTAGAGCTAGCCAATATGGTCACAAATCCTCAAAGACCATCTTTTATGGGGTAAAAAAAAAGGATACAAATGAGAAATAGAGAGCTTTCAATTTGTTGTCTTCATAATTTGAGATTTGCCTTACAGGAATTTGCTCACATATTTCGGAAGGAGTGGAGCAACCAGGGCTCTGTATGCCTTCTCGGTTGGATGATAACTATCCCAAAATATATATTTTGAGACATCTGTACACGTCGATGGACTCAATTTATTACACAAAACTGCCACCTCTATGTTCCCTGTTCCACAGCAGCCTTTGTTTACAACTTCAAACCCTGAAAACACCAAAATTTAAAAGGTGTACTCCTTGCGTAAAAGAAAGGAAATATTTATATTTTATATTATATATCTATATACCATGTTTTTGAGGGTTTTCGATGAGATCAAGCAGAGGATTGTAGACATCTATGTACACAAATTTCCCACCGGGCAGGCTTGTTTGAAGGGAATCCAACATGGCAGATAGCTTCTTGTTGAACAATCTTGCCGCTACGTTGTAATCGTCTGCACATTCCCTTTCAATTCCTCCTGCTAAAGTTCTTTGTGATGGCACACAGCCGATTGGTGGTGCGCTAAAAACCGCGATTCTTCTTGCTCCCAAAGTGTATAGTTCCTTCCAATATCATTTATAAAATAAAATAAATTAAATGTATATTTACAAAAGACTTTACGATTATTATATATTACCTTAAAAAAGTCAGAAGCCGACTTAACCATCAAATCAGTATAAGCGGGAACATCGTACTGCAATTTCCTGGCACGGAGAACAAAATACGTGTTGGCAATGTCATCGCTGCCGGATACAATTAGAAATAAACTTTTGGCTAAGATGAAGTTCGTTCTGTCTTCTCCAACAAGAGCTTTCAGCTTCGCTATGTATTCTTTAAAATGATCTAACTGGTCCGACATCGATATTACGGACTGATGATGATTTGGACAAAGGTAAAAGAACATTGGTAAGAAGAACAAATTTTTTTTTTTAATGTATGAAGAAGGTAAAAAAAAAATATTATTATGTACCGCTAGTTTGGGAGTCAAAGGATCATATCCTGTGCCACCTGAAGCAAAGGTTACCCCGGTAATGAGTTCTTGGGGATTCAATGTTGGATCCAGATATGCTGGCACAATATCTTTAATTCCCAATTCTTCAGCTGAAATGAATTAAACAAAGAAAAAAGGATCGATGACTCTATGGAGTATACACTATAAATGAAAACCACTCTTTGGAGATTAAAATTTTCTGAATAAAGATGAGTTTAGAAGGTCCAAAAATTTTAGAACGTTGACCACATATGCACCTTTTTTTTCTTTTTTTTAAGTCGATTTTAATTATTTTAAAAAGAACAAGGATGATTTGTACCTTTCAAGTGTTGTTGTGGTCGAAAACGATTATTGTTGGCTGATGACATATTTTAATTGACTTTTTGACACATCAACAATTTTTTAATGGAATTAAACGTAAGACAAATTGGTAAACAAAATGAAAGTTCCCATACCATATTAAAATTTTTTTTCATAAAAGTATCACGTTAAAAATTTTTCTAAACCATAGCTGCTAAAAGGGGACATTGTCCCTATTATTTTTATGAGAAAGGTGATATAGACATCACAGCCATACAATTAAATTATAATCATAACAAGATTAAAATTTGTGTGAAAATTTTCCCTCCCAATTTGAAGTAATAGAAGATATAATATATAGTTGTCAAGTGTTAACCCATCACCCCACATCAACTTAAACAAGATGATCAAGAAAGGAAAATTATAGGATATAGAAGAGAGATTTCATAAATTACTACCTACTAAATCTGAAGGGATTTTTCCATTGCAAAACCTTCCTGTTGGAACTCCCCCTTCAAAATCTTGTCCATAGGGGAGGAAGTTGCACCTAATCAGGGTCTGGAGATCGTTGTTGTTTCCGGCGTCAACAATGGAATCCCCAAAGACGATGAGAGCAGGAACCGTTTCATTTGGTGGTAGCTTTATCAAAGCCTTTGTGTTGCAGAAAATCGAAAAGATTACCAAAAGATGAAACAGCAAAAAGGTTGAGGAAGCAGAAGAAAAGATCATTTCCATGATCAGGAAAGCTCGTTCTATATATTCAACTTGATTAGCTAGGTGAAAGAACAAAAGGAAGGAATTGAAGGGGATGGTTTATCTTCCCACTCATCTCTCCATATTTATTTATACATGCAAATGAGAGAATCCCATTAAATGCTCACGAAGATATTTGAAATTGGAGGGACCTTATTAGCTGATTTTTAAAAACAAAGTTGGAAATGCTCTTTCGTAAAACACAGGCAAATTTATTAGCAAGTGTATATGCATTGGCAAATATGTATGTATGTATATATATATATATATATATATATATATAATAGCTATTGATGGAGTATTAAACTTTTAGAGTTTAATTTTTGATAGTTTCAAATAAAAAAAAAAAAGCAGTTTATCCAATTTTAATTTTACATATTACAATAAAAATAAGCAAACCTAGGTCTTTCATATTCACACTCTGCCAGCCTTAGCTTATAGGTTAATGGTGATTGAGTTAGGCTATATTATTCTATAGGTTTTGGTGTTTTTGGAATCCAGTCAGACAAAATAAGGAAAGATATCTCAATTAACTTGCTTTCTCCACCTCAAGTTCATTTGCCATTTTGGGAACTGGAAGCAGGCAGTAAAATTAGTAAATATACACAGTTACATGATTTCAAGTAAAATTTATCTAATCTATCATAATTCAATTTCTGATATTCTTAAATAAAAAAAATAGTTTTTAATTAATCAATATGACTGACTTAGAGACGTACAATAATTGGTAGTATATATTTTTTGTGAAATTTCTATTCAACTTTGGTAGTTTTATGAACAAAAGTCAGGTTTTGTATATCCAGATTCAGTGAGATTTATACAAATCTAAAGAATACATAAAATAAATAAATAAAAAATAGAGGCAAATTTAAGGGCCCCAATGGCCACAGTAGCTAAAGAACACAATCCACAACCGCTAACTGCCTTTAATTACCACAGCCCCCAAGATTATTGTTAAGATCAATCCCATCCGTCCCATCCCATTCCAAACGTCAAATAACAAAGGAATTTGAAGTGCCCCATTTTTTTTCTTCTGTAAACCCATCGGGCACCTCAAAACTTGGGTCTTACTGCACTTGTACCTTCGTCGACACGCCCTTCTTCTGCAATTAAGGAAAAATAAATGAAAGTCGACCGACCATTGACTTTAAACTCTAAACTTTAAGCTCTCTCCATTGATGTAGTCGATCAATCCTATTAATATAAAAATTGTTATGAGATATTGTTCATTCTTAAGTTCAAAAGAATGCTTCTATGATTTTATTTTTGAAGAAAGGAATCTGGATAAAAAATTATATGATCTTTACTTATAAAGTCATGGTCCAATATTTAGCTAACAGATAAGATATCATTTTCCATTCAAATTAATTCATTGTTAGAATAATTCTAGTATAATTGACTGATAGTTTCGAATTAATTAAGCTAGAATAATAGCTTATTATAATTTATATGTATAGCTTTCTCATTAATTATAGATTGGTTCCTTCATCAGTACTACAAAAACTCGATGCATTATGATGAATTTACTTACGTATATCCCTAAAAGTTTCCCTTCTTCTTTCCCTTTCGTTTTCCTTTGGGACCAAATTGATTTTTTTATCTTTAAATATATTTTTTTGGCTTGAGGATAAGATCCATCATTACACTCGCTCTCCAAGCTTCTATAATCATGTGGTCAGTTGATCACCACCCGTCAGCTACTAATCGGAATTTCTTTTTTTTTTTTCTAATTTATAACAATAATTGATTGAAGCCTTAAAACCAAAGCTTTTTTTGCACGAACCAATTTTCATTTTCCTCTTACCTTTCTTTCTTTCCATTGGTTTTTATCTAATTATAATGGAAATGTTGGTTAGGATCATTAATTTTCATTCAAACACTTTTTTTCCATGTTTAGAAGCATATACTTATTCCTTGTTTGTTTGTTTGTTGGGTATAAGAGAGAGTAGGGGTTTGGTTTGGGCTTCAATTTTGACAAACAACAAATGTATACAGCTATAAAAAAAAAAAAAAAAGAAAAATAAATCTATTCCCAGCCAATCCAAAGAAAAGTCTGACAAATTACTCAAGGATGGTAAATGTTATCCACGACAGAAAGCAGAAGCTGATATAATTGAAAAGCTGTCCCAAGGTATTTTACTAAAATTTTTTGTAACTCATGACTTGTTAGTTTAGCTCTTAATCACCCAAAACGATAAGCATTTTTCTACTACTCGTATATTTCTAATATAATCAAGTCTAACTCTTGATCTCCTTTAAGACGACTGTAGCCACAAAAGGAATTTCGCCCACATATTTGTGACAGATGGAAAAAGTGACTCTTAGTTCATGCAGGTCGGTGGTCTACCCTGCATGAAAAGCAATCCACACTGACACTACTCTCCCATCTAAAAAACTTCATTAACGGAAAAAACTCATCCTAATTTTTCAAAAGATTAAACTCACAAAAGAGATTAATCAATGGCTTGCGCATCGTCCTGCATGCCTTACATTTGTTTGGTAAACAACCATAACCC